CCCCCCCCCCTTGCCTGTACTATGGCGTCCTGGCAGGCTGTCTTGAGTCCGTCCAGCAGGTACTGGTCGCTGGCCGCCAGCAGCTCGGCCTCCAGGCCAGACGGCACCACGGCCTGACAGGGGGGGCGGTGTGGCGGGTGCGTGAGGATGTGTTGTTTGCTGTCGGAGCCGCTGCTTCCGAAACGGCAGGCAACCTCCATGTTGCAGAGCCCCCAGAACAGACGCCTCGCTCAGCAACCACGAGCCACTCATCTGCCGCCGAGACCGCCCGCGCCCCCCCTCTCCCCCCATGATCCGCGAGCCAGACGCCCGACCTGGCCCCGCCGCCATCCGCAATGCCGCTTTTCCCCCCAGTACTGCCACCCCAGGCCCGCTCCCCGCATCTCTCGCCCCTGGGGGCACCGACCTGCCCCGTGTAGACGTATCTCATCATGGCGTCAAACGCGGCCCAGCTGATGTTGGGGATCTCTATGGCACCGGCCCCGGCCTCGCGGTAGCCCCCCTCAAACATGGCCCTGGGGGGCGGGGCGGGTGGATTGGGCATCGTATGTGCGTACATTTATGTATGTGTGCATGTGTGTGTGCGCGCGCATGTGTGTATGTGTGTGTGCGTTGAATGCGCTATTGATGAATTGCACGCAGGGTAATGCACCGGTGCAGCAGAACGCAGGGCCTGCAGCGCTGGTGGGTGGCACCCACATGAGGGCGCCGGTCGTCTCCAGCCCCAACCCATGAAGCCCTCCACACCACTAAGTGGCACTCATCACGCTGAGGCCCCCACCAGTCCTGACGCACACTCAAACGCACTCGTGTCCCCACCTCCCCCATGCACACACTCACACACCTGAACGCGTCGCTTGACGCCAGCAGGGCTGTGCGGTGCGCGCGGAAGGGGCGGCCCTCCACCGTGAAGGTGACGTCAGACAGCGTGGGGCTGTCCACGTAGGACTCCCCCAGGGTCACGCCGCGGCCGTCAGCCGCCGGGGGGCTGCGGGGTGTTGTGTGGGGGAGGGATGATGGCGGGGTTGGGGAGGAAGCGGGAGGGGAAGTGGGGAGGGGAGGGAGCGATGGGAGAGGAGAGAAATCGTGCCGAGCCATGGGGCGGCGGGTGCCATGGGGCGGCAGGTGCCACGTTGATGTGTTAGGAGTGCCAGACTGCGGGGCATAGAATCATCCATGGATCCATGCGCATGGAGGAGATTTTGAGTACTTCCTTGACTTGAGAGGGCACAGGCAAGCCACTGTGCATCGCTCATTTTGCACCCTACGCGCGGCGCATCGCCCCTCCCAATATCAATACTGCGCACGTGCCAACCGACGGCAGGGCCGCCCTGAGCCGCTCCGCCAGCGCCGCCAGCGCCCCCGCCGCGTCCGCCTGCTCCGCCCCCCGCGGCGCCCCGCCTTCCACCGCCTCGCGCGCCGCCCGCTCCGCCGCCGCCGCCGCGGCCGCCGCCGCCTCCTTCGCCGCCGCCGCCGCGGCGCGGCGGCGCGAGGAGAAGGGCGGCAGGTTCGAACCCGTCGACCCCTCCTCGCCCTCCTGCGGCGGCGGCGGCGGCTCCGCGGCCGGCGGCCGAGAGAGCATCTCCAGCAGCACGTCTAGGCCCCCCTGTTCGAGGAACACCCGCCTCAGCGCCGGTCCGGCCGCGACGAGGCGCGCAAGCGCGGACGCGGCAGCGCGGCGGACTGCGTGGTCGCGGGAGCGCAAGAGGTAGGCAGCGGAGGCGAGGGCGCGCGGCGTGGCGAGGCGAGCCTCGAGGCGGGCCAGGGTTTTTTGAACACAGTCCTGCGGCGATGGCACGCGACTGTGTGTGTGTGTTTGTGTTGTGTATGCTGTGTTGGTTGTGTTGTATGTGTGTTGTGCGGGGTGTGTGTGTGTGCTGTGTGTGTCTGTGAGAACATTGTGCGCATGGATACAGGGTGACTTCAACCCCAAAGGGTCAAATCAAGCGCGGTGATTTCAGGCGGCAGCATTGGTCTGTGGGGGGGGGGGGGGCAGGCAGGGCCTTGACGGTAGGAGTGCGGCCCGCCAGGTACGCTGGCCCCGCGCTCCGGCCATCCATCGAAGGACGCTGCCTACACCCTGGCAAAGTGGACTAAGCCCCCGACATGCTCTGGGTACACCTGCTCCTCAGATCACCGCAACCACGTTCACTACTGTCGCCTTCACAGCCGCCACCCCCAGCTAGCCCCGGCCCCGTCGCCCCCGGTAGCCCCGCCCCCGCTCCCAGGCACCCGCCCAACCTTGGACCCCTGCGCCTGCAGTGCCTCCAGCGCGGCCGCCAGCCGCCGCGCACCCCCCTCCCGCAGCAGACCCGCCGCCGCGTCCTCGCTGTCGCTGAGGCCGTAGAGCGCAAACGCGGCGTTGTGCTGCAGCGTGGGGTGGGGGCTCTCCAGCAGGGCCAGCAGCGCGGGCAGGCCGCCGGCCTGGACGATGCCGGCCTGGGTTTGGCGGAGGGGGGCGGGGCG